TAGTTAGATAAATCAAACGACCAGATATAGGCAACCGTATACGCGCGTGTTGGCGGGCATACAGAACAAGCAAATAAATAATCATCAAATTTATTCATTAGGTGTAAACATAATAGTGCTCGATGTGGTTAGACAGATCAAAGATAAATATTAATAAATATATATATATCTACGTTTTGGTGTGGGACTTGAGTTTCGCTGGTTTTCCAGCTCATCGGGTACAAAGTATATCATATGTTTTTATAATAATATACTGATATCACATAGGAGGAAATGCTCTGTTTATAATAAACATATTATCTACATTTACCGGACTGAATATCCGAGCAATTTAATAGAATTGCCGAACTTAGTCCATTTCATAATATATGATGCCATTTATTTATATTTAGATGCGCTTCGATCTGACATGAGAGTTCGAGAGAAATCATAGGAAAATTGTTTTTTTAAAACAGTAATTTGACTTTGCTAGCGAGGCGCTTCCTCTGTAGCTAAATGGAATAACACGTCAGTTTACATGACGGTTCCGTGTAGGATACAGGCTCGATACCTGTCGAAGGACACATTATTTCTATGAAATTTCCTGGACATTCAGGCCGGTGCATTTATATATATTTATATATATATATATATATATATATATATATATATATATATAGTCATAGTGGTGTAATGGATAGCGGCTTGGATTGGCGGTTCTCTGAGTCCTCAATCCGAACCGCTATCCCTTACATTCACTTACGTACTAATACCCTTGGGAAAAGTATGAATCTTATTCTTATGGGTAAATGGCAGGGCAGACTGGGTAGCAACCAGCCTAGGAGAAGGACAACTCTGAATTCAGAACCTGCCTATTATACCAAAATTTTGAAAATTACGGTAAATTGTCACGTTTATTTGAATTACTATATATTTGTATTCTGATTGGCCATCATAGATTACGTTGCAATGTTTCCACTACTAAGGGCGTTGGTTGGTTTTTCAACCCTTAAAACCCATATTTTGCAATCAACACCATCATTGATAAGACACCAGAAGTATTGAAACAAAATTGCAATCTTTGTAGTGATGTTATAACATGCATATGTTATAATTTTGAATATATATATATATATATATATATATATATATATATATATGTGTGTGTGTGTGTGTGTGTGTGTGTGTGTGTGTGTGTGTAAATATGTGAAAAGTGTGTGTATATAAATATATATATATATGTGTGTGTAATATATTATATATATTATTATTTATATATTATATGCGCGGTACTTATTAGAAAACGCTCAATATAAGTGATAGAGCTAACATATTTAGTGATTAATTTTTAAATTTTGGATTTATGTATGGTTGCATATATCGGTGCTTTTATGGAAGTGGGAGGGAAAATTGTTGTCGGGACACCACTCATACATACGCAAACATACATACACGCCTGTAAACTCATTGATGTACGCAGACACACACACACGCACGCTCACCCACTCGGGCTCACACAAGCATAAACATATGTGAACAGTATGAGACTTGGTATATATGTGTATATATGTGCCGTTGTGTACATACGCACGCATTTGGTTGCTGTATTCAATGTTGGATTGTGTAGCGAATATTTTTGATAGTTGCGATGTCAACGCGCAAATGCGCAGACCGTTTCTCTATTTTTGTTCGCTGAATAATATTTACTCGCACGCACGTATATACGTATAATGGGGTCTGTGTAAGACTATGATAGGCAAAAATTGCTATTTAATTTTTTAAGGCTGTCTTCTTATTATTTTAAAGGCGGTTATTTGCTTGTTTTTGGCGATTGCGCATATGTAAATGGTAGAAATTTCAATTTGTAATACTTATTAGTATTTATGCGGTGGTATTAATTTTGTGGGGGGAGAGAGAAGCAATTATAATTGTGGGCTGATACGTTAATGGTAATTGCGGACTAATACTAAGACCAATACTACTACTAATATATATATATATATATATATGTGTGTGAAACTCTCATAAAAACACACTGACCCTCGAAGATGACAGCTAAAATCAATTTCAAACTGGTCTGGCAAACCAAAGTCAAACCTTCCGTCATTCTTGCAAACTGGCCATCATGCTAGTGTTACGGTGTACAAGTCCACATCATACGGTACTTTGAACAAGGAATGTTTTTATGAGCGTGTGAAAGAAAAGAATTTACTCTTGAAGGAAAACCACCTCAAAGCTTGTATTGCTACGAAATATCTAATAGACTATCTATCTAAACTACAGTTCAAAAGCTTGAAGTTTACCACTAGAATTAGCATAGGATGAACTTGACAGAAAAGTGAAAAAAAAAATGAAAAAAGAGCTCTTAGGGTAATTGAAAAAAAATGGAATCAATTATCAAACTTATATTTTAAGAAACTTTTGCAACGAATACCAAAAATTAGTATTGCAGTAATCAATGGTAAATATTTTGACGAGAGAAACATTTAATCATAAAATGAATTTTTTTTCTTTTTGTCTTAATAATTTCTAATAAATGTAATGTTTGACTTGTTTAAAAACTATGTATAATAATTTTGTCTTGTTTAAAAAAACAAAACAACTGCCTTTTGGATCCAATTAAAAAATTACCATGGGTCACCTCAAACTTTTGAACTATAGGGTATGTGTCATCGATTGTTGAGGTGTTTTTTTTTTACCGCTCATCAAATCTTTATGATTTATTTAAAGACGAAAACGTTTTTGTATTGTAAGAATATTTTCCCACAAGTGAATAATATAGCAAAGATGGTACCGTGGAGTAATGATTAGCAGCTCGTATTAAGGAATCGGAGTTCCAATACCAGTCGAGTTCATTATATTCACTTACGTACTAATAGCCTCGGAAAAGGTATTAATCCTTCTTTTCTCCTCCAATGTATAAATAAAATAGTAGGTGAGTCTGCGTCCTATAGACTTGGATGGCAATTAGTCTACCTTTGGTAATCAAACGAGAACCAGTGTTTCAGAATGATTTTGACCGTAAGTCCTCCTTAACACTGTGTCTGTCTTTCTCAAAAGGTAGGATTAGCTTCCTCTCAGCAGCATCTATAGTCCCCTGGCAGTAGTCAATGTTACAGTAGATGAATGAAGAAAAAACATTTATTTTTTACAATGAATATTTTATTTATCCATACAATCTCTTTTCTGTCCTGCGTAAGACAATAAACGGCATCTAAAAGCAAGACCTCTGATCAGGAGGTTTTGAGGAGAGTGGGGCCATCTCTTAACTACTGGTGTTCCCAGGTCCACCCTGACCTGGGGTGGTAGCACCTGTTAGGGTCCCAGCTATGGGCAAATAGTTAACCCCCAAACAGAGGTCAAAACACTATGAAAGTGTAAAAATAGGTTTTAATACCAGCAATACATTTTTTGTAAAAAATTGTTACCAGCAATGGATTTTTGAAGAAAAAAAATATTAGCAGCAACACATTTTTCAAAAAATATTGCCAACAATAAAAATCTTGTTGGTACTAAATAACCAATTGAGGTTGATATGCAGTAAAACAAACCGACCAAAAAAACCCCCAAAAAACAAAAAAAAAAACAACAAACAATCCCCTTCCTTGTTAATACACTTCAGTACCTAGATTGAACATTATACAGTATTAGGACTAGTGTTTCAATACCGTTGTTCCAAGTACGTTTGATACCCCCTGAAAAGAAAGCAAAATGCAATGTACCAAATGCAAAAAAAAAAAAAAAAAAAAATGTCAAGATAAGCCACTTCATGTTCAAAATTGTGCCCGTGCCAAAACGCTGATATAGACAGACCCAGGTACCCATCAGTGGTTATGTTGTGCAGGGTTAAAAGCTGAAACTGAAGGTTTTATTCCTGCTGCACAGGGCCGATGCTTGCTAACTAGAAATTACGAAGCACACATCCTGAAAAAATTGTGTTAACCCGTAATGCAGATTCTGTGATAAATATCCAGAAACAATTGACCATCTTGTATCGTGTTGCACGATGTTAACACCCACTGAATTTACAACTCGGCATGATTTAATGAGCCAATATCTGAAGTGGAAAATATGCAACTTTTATGGTAAGGAAACTGCAAGAAACTGATATGAACACCACTCAGACCCGGTTACAGAGATAAGACCTGTAAGGAATTTTATGGGACTTTACAATACACACAGATAGAAAAATCAAAGCTAATCGCCCAGACATCGTGATCAAAAACCACTTGAACAGAATGGGCTTTCTCATTGACATGTCAGTCTCTTTCGGAGAAGTTCAAAGATGGACATCAATAATGACATTTGTGGTTGGAGACCTCGGTTTGATTGAAAAAGGTTCCGATAAACACACTGAAGTAGACAATGCGGTAAATAAATACAAAAAATTGTTCTCACAAATACAGCTCACACCTTACAAAGAGTCTTGTCTATGTAAAATGTGTACTATCTTTTGTGTTGTTTTATTTTTTACATATTTTTTTCTTTTACAAAAATGTTCAGTAAAAAAAATGTCATGATGTCATTTTTTAACCCGAGGCCGCTGGTTGGAATCAAAAAGGAAATTAGTATATAAGAGAAGTCAATAATAATAATAATAATAATAATAACTAGATTTAACCCGTGAGAAATTCACGGTTTTTCTATATGAATATTCTATAGTTTTTCTTATATTAATAATTGAGTAAGCTCATAACGAGGTCTACCACAATAAAATATGCGTAGAGATTCCTATATTTCAACGTTAAATATTTGAGCTAAACAATTTTAACAAAATATTGCAATAACAATCATAAATATAATTGCTAGTTGATATTTTAAGAAGTGGGTACAAATGAAAAAAATTTGAAATTGATGACTTTTCCATTTCAGACGTTAAACACTTCTTTCTTTCTTTCTTTCTTTCTTTCTTTCTTTCTTTTCTTTCTTTTTTGTTTCTTTCTCACTGAATCCAAGTAGCGTTTCCTCCTCTTTCCCCGCAATCAAAACGGAATAGTCCATTATTTATGAGGTATTGACAGGAAACTTTAAACACATTTCTTTTCTTTTCTTTCTTTCTTTCTTTCTTTCTTTCTTTCTTTCTTTCTTTCTTTCTTTCTTTCTTTCTTTCTTTCTTTCTTTCTTTCTTTCTTTCTCTTTCTCACTGAATCCAAGTAGCGTTTTCCCCTCTTTCCCCGCAATCAAAACGGAATAGTCCATTATTTATGAGGTATTGACAGGAAACTTTAAACACTTTTCTTTTCTTTCTTTCTTTCTTTCTTTCTTTCTTTCTTTCTTTCTTTCTTTCTTTCTTTCTTTCTTTCTTTCTTTCTAAACAAATCCTCGTCTTACGAACATTTTTCTTAATAATAATTCTAAAATATTTCAGCAGACGATGCTATTTTATTTAATTTCTTAGAATTGGAATTTAACGATTGCCTTACACGGTTTCTGTCATTTGATACTGTGCGTCTGAAAATTGCCACAGATATATCGATCGCCATCACTACTCAGCCTTTTTGGTTTGAGATCAAAGTGTAGTATCTGTTGTTATCAGCTTAATCTGATTCTCTCTCCCCACTTCTATATTCCTTTCTTTCTTTCTTTCTTTCTTTCTTTCTTTCTTTCTTTCTTTCTTTCTTTCTAACCAAATCCTCGTCTTACGAACATTTTTCTTAATAATAATTCTAAAATAGTTCAGCAGACGATGCTATTTTATTTAATTTTTTAGAATTGGGATTTAACGATTGCCTTACACGGTTTCTGTCATTTGATACTGTGCGTCTGAAAATGCCACTTCTATATTTCGTTATTTCTTTTTTTCAATTTCATGGATTCCTTATTCGAATTTTCTGATAAATCTTAATTCTTCAGTTAATGATGGAAGAAGATCATGACGAGTTCTACGACAATAAAATATCTGGAGAAATTCTCTTGTCGCATCGTTAAATATTCGAGCTTAACAAATTTAACAAAATGTTGCAATGGCAATCATAAATTATGACTTCTGGACTTTGTTTTAAGAAGTGGGTACAAATGAAGATTTAAAATTGGCAATTTTTTTCCATTTCACTGAAAAAGCCGTTAAACACTTTTATCTGCTATTCTTTCTTTCTTTCTTTCTTTCTTTCTTTCTTTCTTTCTTTCTTTCATTGAAACCAAGTAGCCTGTTTTCCCCCTCTTTCCTCTTTGGTTCATTGTTTATGAGATATTGGCAAGAGACGTTAAACACTTGTATCTTCCATTCTTTCTTTCTTTGGCTTTTTTTCATTTTTCTCTCTGAAACCAAGTAGTGTCTTTTCCCTTCTTGCAACTCGATCAAAACGGAATTGTCCATTATTTATGAAGAATTGGCAAAGCCATAACGGTCATGTGAACTAAAGAAGGGAGGGACAAGCACGATCACAATTCTATGCGATTACACCATCTTTGCACACAGAAAGATGGATGCAAAATAAAACCGGACATAATTGTCAAAAACCGAAAAGAAAAAAAAAAACTTGCTTACCAATTGATATGGCTTAACCAGCGGATTGTAACAGTGCAACCAAAAAATTTGAAAAAAACTATCGAGTATAAAGATCTGGAAATCGAAATAGAAAAAAAAATATGGAAATTGAAAACAAGAATAGTATCAGTTATAGTAGGTGCGCTTGGAATGATAAAAAAAGGAACATAACAACACACTGAAAAAATCCCTGGAAATCCCGGCTGAAGAGAAAAACAAAAAATTGTCTTGATAAATACAGCCCACACACTAAGAATAACTTTGTCCATGCAACGCTAGTGATGTTATGGGAATTGGGAAAATATTTCATGAAATGTAGACATAACGACACACTTGCCTTAGGTTTTTCCTCAGACTTGGCAGGTATTGTGACAATAGCAAAAATCGAAATAAAAATAACAACAATAACAACAACAATAATAATAATAATAATAATAAAATGTCTTGATAAGTGCAGCCCGCACACTAAAAAGAACTTTGTCCATGTATCGCAAGTAATGTTATGGAAGTCAGAAAAAAAAATCCATAAACATACACAACTACCTGCCTTAGGTTTTTCTGCGGACTTGGTAGGTAGTGTTACCATAGCAACAATCGAATAATAATAATAATAATAATAATAATAATAATAATAATAATAATAATAATAAGTATATTGATAAGTACAGCCCATAGCAGAAATCGAAATGATGATGAGGATGATAATAATAATAATATGTTGTGACGTCATGGAAAGCGTTTAAATGCGAAAGTGAAATTAGCTTTAGATTAAAAGTCAGAAAAAAAAGTTAGAAAATATTTTTTTGAAGAAGTAATGTTTGTCAAATGGTTATGATCTTCTTTTTACTAAATTGTTTTATTACAGTGGCAGAACAGGGATTAGGAGAGATAGAAAATGGAAACATTTAGGAAGTGTGAGAGGAAATTGTAGAGAGCCATGATCGTCTATGCCCTGAAAAAAAAAGTACAAAGAAGAAAACAGAGTGACGTCATCAGTGGAATTGCTTAAGGTTAGAGCACAGTTACTTATTAACAGATTGCTTATAAAAAATGATTCTATAGAGTGGGCCATAAGATTCCATGCGTTCTGGATAAGACGATAAATTACATCCGCATCCTGGTTAAGACGATAAACTACATCCGCGTCCTGGATAAGACGATAAACTACATCCGCGTCCAGGGTATGACGATAAACTACATCCGTGTGCTGGATAAGACGATAAACTACATCCGCGTGCTGGGTAAGACGATAAACTACATCCGCGTCCTGGGTATGACGATAAACTACATCCGCGTCCTGGGTATGACGATAAACTACATCCGACAGCAAGGCCTCTGATCAGGTTTTGAGGAGCGTGGAACCACCTCTTAATTGCTGGTGTTCCCAGAACCACCCTGACCCGGGGAAAGGGAGTAGCCGCTGTTAGCGTCCCAGCTATGGGCATAGAATTAACCCCAAAACTGGAGTTAAAATACTATGAAAGTGTAAAAATAGGTTTAGACATTAGATATAGTTTGTAAAAAATTATTACCAGCAATAATTTTTGAAGTAAAATTTATTACTAACAATACATTATTACCAGCAATACAAGAAAAAATATTATCAGCAATATATTTTTGGAAAAGAATATTACCACCAATAAAAATCTTGTCGGCATTAAATAACCCACTGAGATTGGTATACCGTAAAACAAAACAAACCTAACCAAACCATAAATTTCCATCTTGGACAACCGTTTTTATTTATTAAATATGCTCTATATCTGTCTATATTTCTGAGATGAGTTATTATGTATATTATTTACATTATTCGGACTATTGTCCTCATCTTTGTCGCCATATTTATTACGACGTTTCGGCCGTTGTGCGCTCCGGCCTTCTTCAGGTTGGAATGTCGAACTGAATGTCAGTTATCAGTTATCTCCTGTTAATTTCCCTCTGATAGTTCTCCACTGCCTTAGCCGGGTATTGAACTCATACTCTTTGGATCCTGTCAATGGATCTAACCAACGCCTTTATCCACTGTGCCATGAATTTCTACGTATTATAAACCTAATGTCTTCAGTAACCATTTTTATCAAAGCGCATATTGCAATTTTTGTTGTTAGTTAGATCCAGTGACAGGACCCAAAGAGTGTGAGTTCAATACCTGGTTAAGGCAGTGGAGAACTTTCAGAGGGAAATTAGCAGGAGATAACTGATAACTGACATCCATTTAACATGGCACGTGTAAATAGAACAGTCTACCCCAGTGAGCGAAATAAAGGGTTCAGTTCGAAATTCCAACCACCTGAAGAAGGCCGGAGCGTACAACGGCCGAAGCGTTGTAATAAATATGGCGACAAAGACGAGGACAATAGTCCGAATAATGTAAACAGTGCTCTATATGATTACCATTGTTTCGAAAACACATATTAATACGTGTTACCCACACGCTTTAGCAGAGTTGAAGTTATGCTTGTAATGGGGTTGGTGATATGTTCCTTGATATGATTTATGTCTTGTATCTTCACCTGATATACCAAGGCGTTCAAGTGCCCCCAAAGATAGAAATCAATGGGGAAAGAACTGAGGATTTTAGAGGCCATGTCACATGACTACGCCGACCAATCCAAGCCTCCGAAAACTTCAGATCCAAATACCAACGCACTTGATGACCCTAATGAGGTGGAGCGCCATCTTGCTGGAAGTGAACTGGATTGTCACCTTCGTCGTTTAGTAGGGATAGGAGAATTTCCTCTTGCAGCATGTTAAGATACCTTTCTGTATTAAGATATTCACTGACAAAAAATTTGTCCAATAATTCTGTCAACCCATATTCCGGCACACACCATCAATTTACTGGCACTTTGAATCTTTGTCGGACTCAGCCAGTTAGGGCTGTCATTACCCCCAATAACGTAGAGCTTGCTGATTAACATCTCCATTGACGAAAAAAAAAAATGCTTCATCAGTAAAGAAAATCTTAGTTGAAAAGTTTGCTTCCTCGTTCACTTTGGTCAATGCACATTTACAGAAATTCATCCATTTGGAAACTTATGGCCCACCCTGTATATCTACAAATATCAGGGAGTCATGAAGACCTAAAATTTCAGTCCCCACCACTGAATCGACAGAATGCCTACTCATTCGATTTGATTAAACTGTTGAAGGTTCTTGCGCAATCAGCGAAGAACAAAATGGCGCTCGGTTTAATACAAGAGAGCTATTAAGTATAAATTAATAGTTATACATATTACCCCTCACCGACAGTACGGCTCGAAGTTCCAGGCTCAATGCAATATTGATTTTTTTTTGTAAATTCGCATGAAATGTGCTCTTTTAAATAAAGAATTAACGCTGCTTAATGGAGGTAACTCAATTTATAGTTGTAATTAAAAAAATTACAATTTAAGTATTTTAAAACGTTTTTTTTTTGTTTTTTTTTTTTAAATATGCGCATTTATAAAAAAAACATTCACAACTATCAATTACAGTAATTATTATCTTAGCAATTCTCCCCTTAAGATGATCTTGGATGACATTGAAAATACTTCAGAAAATAAAAAGAATGAGAAAATGATCTATGAATTGGAGAGGATTAAATAAAAAAAAATAGACATAATATTCAACCAAACATGCCTGAATGAAGATAGGCTGCTTATATATATATATATATATATATATATATATATATATATATATATATATATATATATGATGGGATAAAGAACAAGTTGAAACAGATCTTAATTTAATGCTTCACTTTATTAAAGTTTCGTCAGAGTTCAAGATAGAAATGAAAAAAGAATAAGAAAAGAGACGCAGATTAATGGCATGTTGTGTTTGGATATTTTTATTGGTTAGATACGTGTCACGTGTAATGAAGTATTAGATAATATTCAAATATGGCTGAGGAACATTCTAGATGCTAAAGTGTGTAAAAGTTAGTGAGACACAGCAGGATGTTTTGAAAAATTTTGTTTTTGTTTGGTTTTTCATTAAACCATATCTCGTCTGTATTTTGTCTATATTTTCATTGATTTTTTTTATGTATTGGAAAGAGATAAGTTAAATTCATGAATAATGGGTGTGTAGAAAAATGGTGACGTAATGAAGTTTTTCAAACGTGTGTTGATAGTTGGTAATATTGCTATAAA